CTCAACTCAGCTCACCCCAGCTCAGCTAACCCCAGCTCAGCTCTGCTCACCTCAGCTCAGCTCACCCCAGTTCAGCTCAGCTCACCCCAGCTCAGCTCACCCCAGCTCAGCTCAACCCAGCTCAGCTCACCCCAGCTCAGCTCAACTCAACTCTAGCTCAGCTCAGCTCACCCCAGCTCAGCGTAGCTCAGTTTACCAGAGCTCAGTTTAGCCCATCTAAGGCAGCACAGCTTAGCCCAGTTCAGTTCTGCCCAAGGCAGTTCATTTCCAGCTTGGCTCATGTCAGTAAGCCAGCAGTTTGCCAGCCTAGCTCTTCAGGCTCAGCACAGTCTACCTCATTTCAGCTCATCAAGCCCAGCTTTGCTTACCCCAGAGTAATTACCTCAGTTTAGGAAATCTTAGAAGAGCTTAGAGAAGCTGAGTATTGTCCAGCTCAGGTCACCCATCTCAGCCTGCTCTGCTTGTTAGAGCCTAGCTAACTGGGGTTCTCAGCTGTGTTGGTTGAATTTGCACAGCCAGCGGTGTTAGCCTAGCCTTCTCTGTTTGGTTCTTGATTGAGGCTGGAGAGTTACTCCAGCCAACCTGTCGGCCTTAGCTGTTTCTATTCTTTTCCCAGTTCTGTCTACCTATGGTCTTCCTTCTGAGCAGCCACACCGTAGTTCCTATCCTTTCTTACTGACCTTGGCTTCCAAGCACTGTCCTTCTGTACCATTCTTTAACAACTAGGCAGTATATTTACTGACAACTTCAAATTTATTAGACCATCTTGAGTTGTAGATCAAAGATGTAGTAGTGTTTTCTATAAAAATTAAAAACATCTTTTCCTCCAGAATTCCAGTAATGCTCCTTAGCCTGGATTCCTCCCTACTGAGTCTAAATTAGACACCACTGTAAGCTCGTTCTAGATTAAAACCACCATTAACAGCACCAGGGCATTCATTTTATCTACCTTTGCTGCTTAAGAAGAGGAAGTCTTGATGCAAAACTCAAAGCCACATGTATAACGAAGGCCGAGACAGCAAGCACCCCAAATAATACACTTAACTGAAATAATTCCAGACAATCATATACACTTTCTCTAAGATTTCCTTAAAGTATCATTATAATCAATGGTTAGCAGGCAACTTTCTTCTTTTACAAGTTTTTCAAGAAATGTTAAATGTGAGCGACCTAGTTAACAGCACTCAAAAAGATGCGCAAATGTCTCTTTCTCCTCCTAAAGCAGTGACTCAGACTAAGTTTCTCTCAAGCAGAAACAATCACGTAGCACAAACTTTAAGAGCAGCAACCACGGTTGTGGCTGCCTCTGGCTTACCGTTCAGGGTGCCTGGCTTCGGGGAGGTCCAGGGTCTTTGTGTGGAATCGTTCCTTCTAGGCCATCAAGACCGGCTGGTCCATGGGCAGCCAGGTAGATGGATGGCAGAAGCCACAACTGTCTGGGTGGTCCTGGGCGACCCAAAGTCCAGGTCTGCCCAGCAGCAACCCTGTCTCAGACCTTTGGCCAGCTCTCCAGCAAGGAGCAGGGCCAGAGGGAGGTCACACAGAGCATGCCCTGCCGATTGGCTTAGAAGCCCTTCTTCTGCACTGTCTGACAAGTATCCTCTCAACCACCAACTAGCATTTTTAATTGGAGCAATTCTAGATAATTGCATTCATTAAAAAAAAAAACTTTATCCTGAGATGAATACTTAGAAAGAGGTCTTGAAAAAGACTAATGAAGCCTTCTTTACCAGAATGTCAAAGTCTTTCTTAATCATAAAGGCAATAACCAACTAGCTTAAAAAATCATGAACAAAGTCACTGTAAATGTTTGGAAAAAAGAATTGAAATGAGATCAATGATCAGAGGGGAGAAAAAGAAAGTAATTTAAAAAAAGTTTTCTAAATACATTAGAAATTAAATACATTAAAGCCCTTCAATTTCTTACATAATCTAACTTTGAAAATGAGCACATTTTAGAAGTTAATAAACTTCTAAAGTTTGGGGAAACTAGAACTTCTCAAGCTAAAATTAAAAGATTGAACTCACTAAGTTAAAAGAGGACCTTTCCAGTTTCGGCTGAATCCTCAACTTATTTTAGAAATGCAAATTACCCAGGTGTTGTTTTGCTAGGCCTGGACTTTCAGTTCTGTGAGGCTGGGCAGAGCGTTTCAAAACCACTTCTTCAAACCATAGCTACAAGTTTACCCCGCGGTTTTATTTTCCTTCCCAAAATAGCCTTGCTACAAGACCTGCTTCCTGCCAGCTGCGGCAGGTGTCCTGGTCCTGTTCGGCCATCTTGACTCCACCTCGACTACTCAATTTTAAAACATTTTAAACTTAAATTATTATTGTTAAAATTCAGTTCTGAATAAGGTGTGAGAGAGCCTCATTCCCATTCCTTGGTTAAACTTTCAGCAATATTAATTCTAGACAAACATGACTTCAAATAGAGTGACAAGAATTTGATACTTGGACATTTAAAAGAGTGAACACTTGAAAAATCTCTTACATTTTAAAGCCACAGTATTCTGTTTTTCTCAGGAACCAGTTTAAGGATAAAAATAACACCTTCTAATATTCCATATGCACACTTTTATGTTCCTTTGAAAAGCTGGACTTTTGCAGGCTCCCCCAGACTCCTCTGGACAGTAGCTACCCTTTTGAGATGATTCCACTCGCTCTAAGACCAGATTCACTCACTCAGACAGTTCTCTTCCCAGCAAATAAAGTTTTAGACAATCTAGTGCAGAACATTCCTCACCAATCTAAAGAAAACATTCTGTTCCACTCTCTGTGCCTGTGCATTCCTGGCACCATACAGATGCTGCCACAGAGGTGGTCCTGAGGCACACTCCTCAGTCAACACTGTGACTCCAAAAACTGAACATCTCCAACCACAGCCATGGGATCTTCTTAGCATCCCCCTCAAAGGAGGCTCTCAGGTCCCCTGCCCCATCATCTGGGAGCGCCACCAACACCATCAGACAGACCCTTCCCTGATACTTTGTCAAAGGTGTGGCACTATCCCCAAGGCTCTGCGCTCCCCAGGCAGTTTACCCCAGCCTCTCCCAGCCAAACACCATGTTCCCTCAGGAACAAGACTTTAGGACTTTCTGCAATGCTCAGAAAACTTCATAGGCAAAGGTTAAAAATGAAGGCCTAGAGAGGCCGTTCTTACCTGAGGAGACGGTGACTAGGGTCCCTTGGCCCCAGTAGTCCATAGCATAGTAATCACAATGGTGGAATTTTCAACCATACCCAACAAAAACCCCAGAGCCTGACTAGAACGATCCCTAGGCCACTCAGGCACCATGCTGACTCCAGGCATCATACAAGAAGCAACGATTCAAGCCCCTGTCTCACATTCCATTCTCTGCCTGGGCAGAGAGGCTCCTGGACTCCTCTTCAGTCTTTAAAGTGACAATATTCCAGCCTCACCTCTGAGAAACCAGACAGCCACTGGCCTTGGAATTGTCACCATAAAACTGTCAGCCCCTAATTCACACAAGAGCCTGGTAAATCCTGGATGGGAACCCACCCTAGACTTCAAGCCTCAGTTCTGTCAGACCCTCCATCACGCATCAGTACCGACATCAATCACCACAGGCCAGCAGGTAGAGATTCCTGACCCAGACCCCTGAGCCTCAACTTGGGGACCAAGGGGTTGGATCTTGTCAGGGAATATTGGTCCTGAATGTTCAGAGTTCCCCCCAAATGCATTTAGAATGGGAGAAGGTAGGACTCACCTGAAGAGACAGTGACCAGAGTCCCCTGGCCCCAGTAAGCAAAGCCACCATGTGACAACCATGATAAGAACCCAGACAATAAATGGCCCTTGGCTAAGGCCCTGGGTCATCTCACATGGAGCCCGGTGAGAGACAAAGACAGGGGGAATGAGTGGACCCCAGCGGCAAGGGTGGCCAGGATCCCTATAGATCTCTGGCTGTAAAGTCTTGGAGCTGAGGGTTCCTTTCTGTGTCAGCCAGGGCCCCCAGAAGACTCCTTTCTGACTCCCAGGTTGTCCCTGGTTCTTCATGACCCGAAATTCAGAAGACTCACTTCTTCCCACAAATGCAGTAAAGTCTGTCTAAGCTGAGTAGAAGAGAGAGGCTGTAGGGACTCACCTGAGGAGACGGTGACCATGGTTCCTTGGCCCCAGTAGTCAAAGTAGTCACACTATCACAGACCCCATTCAGTGTGTGTACAAAAATCCCTATGTCCACCCATCCAGCCTAACAACACAGAAGCCAATTTCCTATGGTGGTCACTGTCCCACAGGTGGCTAGCCTCTGCCTTCCTCTTATCCTGGGAACAAAGACCCCATCCTTAAAGAAAAGCTTCAGGATTCAGAGTCTGCAGACAATAGTTTCAGAATGGAAGACACAGAAAACCCGAGGAGACATTGATCTGGGCTCCTTGGCCCCAGATATCAAGAGCATGGCAAACAGGCAGGGTCCCTGATGCTGCCCAAATGAAAATCTGACCTCCATCTGGACTGCACATAGAGACTCCAGAGACTTGGCTGGTTACCAAACGAAAAGGTGGGAGCCAACAGAAGAGATCTTACCTGAGGAGACGGTGACCAGGGTCCCTGGGCCCCAGTAATCAAAGTACCAGTAACACAGTCCCTATTCTGCCTCTATTCCCATTCTAAAACCTTCACCACAGCCTGACTTGGCCCATCTCAAACCCGCAGTTCCCAGATGCAGGACTTACCAGAGGAGACGGTGACCTGAGTCCCTTGGCCCCAGACATCGAAGTAATTATAATCACAGTGAGGTAGCCCTATATCCAGGGCCACACAAAACTCAGCCCAAAGTCCCGTGGAGTCCCCAGGGGCTCCAAGCCCCAGAAACTCAGCTGTTTGGGTAGACCTCCACCTTAGCACGGTTGTATGGGCAGATGTGTAGGATGGTATCTTTCAGGCTAGCCTGGGCTAGCATAATGAGCCCCTATAAAGACAGGAGAAGGAGCAAGGGAAGGAGAGAGGGAGGGATCCACTCCTATCCATACTCTTAGCAAACCTCACCTGTCTGCTCTGACCTGGCATCCTCTCCTTAGTCCTTGGCAGGGCACTGCACCCTTCTGATGTCTGGGTTTGCTCATCCTTTTCCCATACAGGAGCCCAGGACCTGTCCATGGTAACTTTCTCTCTGCACTATTTCCTGTCCTCTAGAGAGTTACCCTTCCTCTCAGACCTATTCTTTTCTCACCCAGCTTTCTCAAGCTTCTTTGCCTCTCCATAGTTCACAGGCTGCCCATGGAAATCTCCAGAGGTTTTTGTTGAGCCATAAGTCACTGTGGTTCCAGTTATCACAGTGGTTCTCCGCTCAGTTAAAACCTTGCAACAGTCACAGACCACAAGGACTCTGACTCTCAAACCTCACCCTAGCTGTAGAGTACGGATATCCTGGCCCCCAAACTGCCAGTCATCTCTCCAGTCAGGGACCAATGATTTTTCTCAAAACAGTCACTAGAGTTCTGGAGCCTGTGAGGTTTTTCTACTTTTAAAAGTAAGGACAGGTGGAGGTGGAGCTATGGAGAAGGGTCTGCCATGGTGGTGGGGGGCAGTCCCCCTCCATGGACAGCTATGGGCACCTCTGCAGCACACCTGCCTGTCAGGCACTCAGACTCCTCTTTGCTTTCTGATTCCATCTCTACAGCAGGAAAGTGACCTACATTAAGGCTGAAGGTGTCATACCAATGTCCTGATGGGACAGAATTTCGAGTGCTGTGTCACCTGTGCCCAGGGTAGATGTGTCCCCTCCTGGTCACCAACAGAGCTGGTTCTCAGCAAGGGGTCTCAGCTCAGTCCTGGGGAGGAGTTCAGTGCTCTAAGAGAATGCTCTTTGCTAGCGTTCTCCTCCTGACCTGGGGACCATCTCAAGATAGGAAAGAGTCTGTATTTACCCATGTGAGTTTGTTCAGAGATGGGCTCCACAGGTCAGCAGTAGGTGCTTAGGGCGTATAGATATTTGTAGCCCCAGGCTTGGTATAAGACTCTGGTAAGTCAGGACATGAGGGGCATAGATGGGGTGGGGTGAACAGGAAGGGAGGCAACTGTAGCTCGGGGACACAAGTAGGGTGGGTGAGTGGTAAAGGTGATGTCTGTGGCTTGGAGATCTGGGCACACGGGAGGGTGGGGTAAGCAGGAGAAGGGGTGTGCTGTAGTCCAGGAGCTCCCCTCCCTACACTGTGCTTTGGACCTCTAGGGGTAGGGAGCAAGAGAGGGCCAGCCTTCTTCATGCTCTTGGCAGGGGACCCTACGCTGTGGAGGAGCTCTAGATCTTGGACCATCAAGGTGCACCTCTGCCCAGAATCTGTTCTCTCAGGTCTATCTTAGGTGGTCTCTTGAGAGAAGGAAGGGTAGTGTTGTCTCAGCCTCCCCAGGGAACACCTGCTCCTGCTGTAGTACCTCGTTACTGATAGGGGTATGGAAGGTGCCTTCCCAGCCCACAGTCTGGGCTCTCACAGACCTTCCTCCTTACTATAGAGGTCTAGCTAAGCTACGGGCACTGGGCTTTATTGCCTTCCCGAGTCTTAGTCCTCTCCTGTGTTGCCATATGCCTCGTTGGATGCAGTGTGACAGAATCTGACCTCCCTGAGGAAGCTTTGGCCCTTCTTGTAGCTTCCCAGCTATGCAGAACTACTGTGGATCATGGTCACACAATCAATCTACCTATCTACACTTCTGCTCTCTAGGTGGCTCTTCTGCAGTATCCATGGACTTAGTCTGAGATCACCTCTGTTCTACCTACTATGGGATTTTGCCAGGAAACATACATGTGTTTTTCTGGTTTGATTTTCTGTTGCTGTGCTTAATACCACAACCAAAAGCAACTTGAGGAAGGAAGGGTTTTCTTCATCTTATAACTTACAATTCATCTCTGAGGGTAGTCAGGGCAGAAACATTGGCAGGAGCTAAAGCAAAAGTCTTGGAGAATTGCTGTTTATTTGATTTACTTCCTCTGACTTGCTCAGCTACATTTTGTGTATGGCCCAGGCTTAGCTGTCTAAGGCTGGTACCACCCACAGTGGGCTTGGCTTTCCTACATCAATTATCAGTCAAAAAAATGCCCACAGACATGCCGATTGGCTAATCTGATGCAGGCAACTCCTTAACTGAGGTTTTATCTTTCCAAATGTGCCAAATTGATAACTAAGTTGATAATTATTAGCCATTATAGTGTTGCAGACATGTGTCTCAGAAAGGGCCAGGTAAGGAAACTGGATCTGTACAATGAGATGACCAGACCTGGGCCTACTGGCTTGGGGTGAGTTGCTCTTCCAGCCTCTGCTGAAGTCTCCTGGGGCCCTATCCCTGGTGCCCTATCTTGCCTGACCTTGTTCTGTCAAACTCTGACCTGATATGCTTCATCATGTCCCATCCTGCCTATTTAGTTCCACACCTTAACAGACTGTTCTAAGTACTCAGTTCTTGGGATGGCTACTTTGAACAGGACTTGGAGCTCAGCTGAAGACGGACCCTAGGGTAGGTAGAAAACAGACCCTGGAAATTCATCTCATTAGAGCAGGTTCATTGTAGAGTTAATCAGAGTAGTTGGTGAGCTATAGGTGTCCCCATGGGATGTGGAGAGATGAGAGAGGAAAGAGAGAGAGAGAGAGAGAGAGAGAGAGAGAGAGCGAGCACTTTTACTCCATCTGCTCCATCATTAAACTTCTGGATCAAGATATTCATCACAAGAGATACCAGACATGATGGTCGGCATGTGATCAGAAGACCATGGGTAATGAATAAGCTTAACTGAGTGTCCAGGCCCTAAAGTTTGGGTCTCTGTGCCTTGGTGTGCTGGACTGGGTCTGGCAGCATTTTCCTAGGGCCTAGCATTGCGTGGACTAGGCAGGAACCGGAATACTGATGTCCAGACATGGTAGAGCAGGAATACTCCCGATGGGATAGTGCATTGTCTGTAGGTTTAACTCGGGACTGCCTCTGCTCTGGAGAGGTGTTCTCCAGGTTCTTGAGGCCATCACTGTCTGGGTACTTCATTTCAGAAGGGGGTCTCCTAGATAAACATTTCTTTAGGTTTGGTCAGAAGTGCTACAAGGGCACATGCAATGGCAAATATAACAGCTGTCAGAAATTACTGAGAGAAATAAGTATATGAAGAGGTAAATACAAAGTATGAGGCACCTGCTTATGAGTTATTTGTCAGGGAGGCCCTACCAAACCTGTATGGTAAGTTCCTATTGCCAAAGATATCACACTTTGTTGAGACATTAATTTGAAAGTGACTGGGTAGCGTCCAACCTGCTGGCTAGCTTTCATAGTTTTAGCAGGTGCTGTGTAGATGGCTGGAGAGAAAAGCCATCCAGTGCTGGACTCTGCATGCTACAATATTTGACCTACTTTATTTAGGGTTCGTAAACACCTCTACCTCCCTCTCCCCTACCTTAGGTAGGAGATTAGTAGGGAAAAGGGCTACAGCTCTCTTTTATCTACTTCCTGAGAATTAAGGTCCATGGGTCTTTAGGGGATTACCAAACTCAGTCATCAGGATACCAGCAGTCCAGTCCAAAGGCCAACACCAAGAAGCAACAGAAAGTCAGCAAAAACCACAAGACTCAGTTGTAAGTTCTCTGGAATGCTTCTTTCTACAAAGTCAAGTGTCAAGGCATGAAGATCAGTGCAGTGATGTCTCACTGTGCTCAGGCCTCTATATATGTCCTCTCCTCAGAGTCTACCTATAGATGCTCTCAGCTGGCCCAAATCACACTCTTCATATTGGAGAGTTCACAGTGAAACATCACATGCCCTCTCACAAGCCAAGCTCCAGCAAAATAGCAAGTGCCCAGCTTACAGCAAAACATCACATGTCAAAACTAAGTCTTCAAGGAAAATAGAAATGTCCATTTCAAATACTGTTCTGCCAGGTAAGACTGCAAGAATAGCAAGACTATTTCAATATAACCAACTGTTATCAGATTGGATTTGAGGCTTGTTTCATAGAAGGAAATTTAGTGCCTGGTATGGTAATCCTGGTCAAAAGTGCCTGGCTGAGGAGATGATAGGCCCCAGGGTGGAATGCCCTATTATGTTTTTGTTGAGTAGTTGTGCTGTCAAATTGCTTTCTATGTACTTATATTTATACCCATAGACCTAGGCTGCTCTCAACCTTAGGCAAAAAAGCCTTCTTTTGCAGAGGCCACCACTTGTCAGAGTGCTGAGACTAAGAGGCCCCTCAGTTGAGGAATGGATACAGAAATTGTGGTACATCTACACAATGGAAAAGTACTCAGCAATTAAAAACAAGG